ATATATTAATAAACTAAGCCAAGTAAAATGTAAAACAGCACTTATGTACAAAAGTTTGTTTGGTAATGCCCCTAGAATTTATAATAAGATTCCCAATGAAATAAAAAATACAACAGTAATTAGATTTAAAAGTATTCTCAATAAATTATTATTAAACAAATGCTATTACTCAATTGAAGAATTCCTTAATGATAATATTTTTTGACAAATTTAATTTATTTCTTGACAATTTCAATTTTTTCTTGACAATTTTAATGTATTTCCTGATAAATTTGATAATTTTAATTGACATAATTTTGACATACCTTATTTTTATTATTTTATTATTATTGTACAAATTTAACTGAAATTGTAATATTCTAATAATGTTCAAATGCATGTACCTAATATATTTGTATGTCTATCACGGCAAAACATAGTGGACTATCTTTATATGTAAGACCTTATTATGTAAACTACCTATGTTTAACAAATAAATGATTCTGATTCTGATTCTGATTCTAAAGGTACCTATGCACTTTACCCAGTATTACCTTGAACTGAAACAAAGAAAACGGAAATCTTAAGGATTCTTTTCCTGCTCATAAAGTCATCGTTATTTTCGCCATCAATCCTCAAAAGGTATTCAGATATATTTAGATGATCTGTCGTCGGCGGTATTTCCGAACCGATACGATCTTCAAATCTTCAAGAAAAGCATGCCGCAACGCACCTGTGACTCCTCTAGTGTTGCGAGTGTCCATGGGCGGCGCTGATTGCTTACCATCAGGTGATCCGTCTGCTCGTTTACCGTCTTATCCTAAAAACACCATTAAAGATATTTTGTGATGACAAAGCGAAAGGTTAAGGACGACCAAAGCTGTACAGATTGTGTGAACAATGATGTGTAAGAGCAAGGAGTTTGTGATGTGAAGACGTCTGATAGAGGAGAATGGAAGGAGACATATTGTACACAGAAGTAACTTGGGATAAGGAAGGGAAGATGATGACTATTTATTTTATTTCGGCCACTGCAGGGCAAAGCCTCTCTCCTTCCACTCCTCTCTATGTACAACTTTTTGCGGCCAATCCTTGTCATAGATGTCCAGTTCGTCCCGCCATCTCCTTTTCGGCCTGCCATGACCAGCTAATTCAGATTGTAGACCAATCAAATCAACCATAAAACCTGATTTATTCAATACCTTTTCCTTGTTTTACATAATTACTCGTAATAAAGATGTGTATGTGTAAAATGTGTGTAAAAAATAGTAATTTCATTTAAGTGCCACGTGACACTAACAACTGACTATGTAATTAACTTGAATTCAAGGTTATATTATATTTAGTATGCGTTACTTCGCATGGGGTGGCCTTGTGTTGTAACTGATTGAAAAAGAGTAACCTATGGAGTTTCTTGCTCGTTCTTCTCCATAGGAATCTACACCTTGGAATGAGCAAATAGAACTAATAAATAGATTCATTCACGTATCAACCGTAATTCCTCAGGAATCGCCCTACTGCCGTGGTCAGTGGCCACTTATAGGCTAGGCTGTTGATGATTTTATTTTAAACCACTAGTTATATTTATTTCATGACAGTGAGTTATCATTATAGTATTTTTTCATAACGCAACAGAACTTTAATGGAGATTATTAAATATATATATAATAACATTATTTAAAGATATTTATGCACAGTCAGACAATTTAAAAGTCTATTATTATTATTATTTTATAAGCTACTAATAGTTTTTAATTGCATAATTTTGCATATGTCATTCTTATTATTATAACTAGCGACCCGCCCCAGCTTCGCACGGATGCAATATGCATTTATTATACATATAAGGAATTACACATTCCTTAAGAATCACTCTATCTATTTAAAAAAACCGCATCAAAATCCGTTGCGTAGTTTTAAAAATCAAAGCATACATAGGGACAGACAGACGGCGGATAGCGACTTTGTTTTATATACTACTAGCGACCCGCCCCGGCTTCGCACGGGTGCAATATGCATGTATTATACATACAAACCTTCCTTAAGAATCACTCTATCTATTAAAAAAAACCGCATCATAATCCGTTGCGTAGTTTTAAAGATCTAAGCATACATACGGACATACAGCGAAAGCGACTTTGTTTTATACTATGTATTGATGTAATGATAATTTCTAAAATGGCTGGATCGAGGACTGAGACTTATAGGGCAGGTAGCTGATGTACTAAGAAGCAACATAGGCTACTTTTATTTTGAAAAATTGAAAGGAAAAAAGTAATGAATATAATAATAATGAATGTTGTAGTACTTAATTGTAAAATAGAGACTTTGTAATTTTATTCTATCAATATTGTCGCGGAGAACCTAATGGGTAACCGGGGCTCCGACTCGATGTGTAGGAAAAGGAACGGGGTGGTTTTTAGTCAGTAAGAGTCTGACACTCCCTCCCGCCTCACCCAGGCGGGAGCAGTCATTCGATGATTCTCCCCCCTTAAAAAAATCTATAAATATTGGCATACGCATTAAGTATTAGTTCCTGTAGTGATAGTAGTAAGTACATAGTTTATAAATAAATAAAAAAAATAAAATTGAGCTAAAATTTATATTGTACACGGACGAAGTCTCAGGCAACAGCTAGTCATAAGTATATTTCACTGCTCCCGCATAATTTTACCCACTGCTCAGCTCCTATTGGTCGTAGCGTGATGTTTTATAGCCTATAGCCTTCCCCGATAAATGCACTATCCAACACAAAAAGATTATTCAAATCGGACTAGCAGTTCCAGAGATCAGCGCGATCAAACGCACTCTTCAGCATTATAATATTAATATAGATTTTCACTTATGAAGATAAAATAGATAATAGAGAAAATCTAATATCTTACTAATTTTCGCATTTATAAATGCGAAAGTCTGTGTGTATGTCTGTAACTCAATCACGTCAAAACGGCTGAAGGGATCGGGATGAAATTTGCACCAGGGATAGATTAACGTGGAATAACCACATAGGCTACGTTTTATCCCGG